ACAGTACCCATCTCATAGGAATGTTGCCAATATTGAGTTAATATAAGTAAAGTGCTTAGAATAGTGCCTGGCTCACAGTAATCACTAATAAATGTTAGTTATTTGTAACTTCAGTTCTTATTTTTTTAAAATAACAGTGAGCATTGCCAGCAAGATACTATTTAAAGGGTACAAGAGTGATATCTCAAGTTATTTGCCTTGAAGGGTTTGCTAATGCCTTACATTTGTTAGTAAAAATCACTCAAGGATTCAGAGTAGAATGAAATTAAGGCAGGGGATTTGTCATAGGGACCAGAGCCAAAAACTGGAAAGAGGCCAGTATTGGGGCCAACTGGCAGTGACAAAAGGTAAGGATAAACATTCTTTATAGTGTTCCTAGTTAGGAGGTAGTTTTGTCTGAGAATTTGGCTCAAAACTGAGTTTTCAAGTGAGGACTAAATTGGTTAGTCTAGCTTTGGTGTAGGGTCTAGCTACAGAGACACCAATCCAGGTTAGTTAGCCCAAATGATATCATCATGGTGGTCTTAAAAGATCTGAAGAGTTATCTCTTGGAAGAAATATTATACTTGTTTATTTCTGTAAGATAGAACTAAAATGAATGACTGGAGGTTTCATGAAAGTAGTTTTGACTCCATTTGGGGAAAAGGTTTTCAACCACAACTGTTTTAAAATAGAAAGGGCCGCCTTATCAGATAATCTTTCTAACACTAAAAATGTTCTAATGGAAGCTAACTTGCCACTAATCAGAAATGTACCTTTATATTCATCTGTAAAATGGGGATAATAATCATCCAACCACATAATTATGAGGATTAAATGAGATAATATGCGTATGGTGATTAGCATAGTGCCTGACACATTGTAAATATTCGGAGAATGGTAATTGTTGATACTACTGCAACCACCACTGCTGTCACCACTACTGCTGTCATTACTATTATTAATGGGGATTTTTAAACTGAGCTAAGAGGCTGGACTATATGATCTCTCTAGTTTCTATGAAAATAGATTGTTAGCTTATGCTTTTTAAGTTCTCTTTCCACTCAGGAAGTTTAAACTACTTAGAAATGGGAGACGTCTTACATTGTAGGATGTGGTGTTACTCTTCATGTGTTTATTATGCTAGCTTCTTTGCCTCTTCTATTATTTATTATTTTCTACTTTATTTAGAATGGTTTAACCCGTGTGTAGTTTAGCTGTATTCTTTGTTAGTATAGTAATTATAGACTTTCTTTTGTTTATAAAGATGAAAAAGAGATGGGATAAAGAGATGAAAAAAGTTTCAAGTTTAAATGCCAAGGTCTTTTATTTCTCAGCTGGTAAACAGGTTAGATGAGAATTATTTTAGAAAAAAATGGCACTTTGTTTATTTTCTCCTGAAAGATTCAGTATGTTCTAAATGCAGACTTTGAAAGTTTTAATACTTTTTTTGGTAAATCTTTTCTTGCGAAAAGAAATTACGTTAGCATTTAAATAAAAATCAGTGTATTTCCCTCCAAGGCAAAAGGACAGAACTTGTAACATAGGAACAAAAAATCTAAAGGAAGGACATGTCTAAATGAAGGGAAAAAGTGAAAGCCATTATTTCTCCTATTGCTGTAAATATATGCTCTTGGTATAAAGTGTTTTCTATTACTAAGGACACCTCTAATTTTTCTCACTCTATGCATTCATTGATGCTGAGGTTGGGCTTCACAGGACAAATTAAAAATTTCAGATTTATCAACATCTATGAGAAAATAGTAGACAACAAAAAGGAACACAGATAGTGAAGTTATAAAGGATTCAGAATCATAAATGGTTTGCTCTAAAATCTCTGCCAGTTAGTAGATGATAAATGGAAGCCCTATTGGAGTTTGGCTTCATTTTTATTTTTCCTCTGTTTGTGCAGTTTACATAGACTCCCTTTCCCTTCGAGGATTTTTTTCCCTTGCCTGTAGGCCTGCAGAGGCAATCAAGCCTGAACAATAGGTGCCTTCTTATTTCAAGTGGGCAATTTGCATTTCTGAGGATCTCCTGACTGGATTAAACACATTTCACAGAGGCTTCTGCAGCTCCTGGGATTATTCCTTCTAGAAATTTACCTCATGTTTGGCAGGGTAGGATGTTGCTCAGCTTTCACACTCCTGAGAAACACAAGGCACCTGAATTTGTCCAAAGTAATTGTTTTCATTTCCTCTGTGATTCAGTTATTCATAAATTCAGAACTGTTGAGTTCATACTCTTTCCTAATTTTCACACTGTTCATTTGAGTGTTTTACTTAAAATGGAGCAGGCAAGCCATGAAAGAGCAGGAAACTGGAATTTTGAAAACCTGTCTTTGATGAGTTCTGTGATTGTAGTTCAACTACTTGGCCATTCCAAGCTTCAGTTTCCTCATTTGTAACATGAAGAGTTACTACCCTTTAGAGCTCCAAGAGATGAAACTCCTGTGCAAAAGCTACCACTGGCTAACCCTCCTTTCCTTCCTGTGACAAAGAAAGAATGTGTATGTACCAAGTGTCAGGCACTATAGGTACAAAGTGGATAATGCATGGCCTTTGCCCTCAGAAAGCTTACTGTTTACAGGGAGAGGCTGACATACAGTAAGTGCAATATGTTGTGATAATTGTAAACAAAATGCTTCAGAAGCAGGATTTACAGTGGAGGTGGAATTTTGCTTGGATCTTAAAGAAAGGAAAGGAATCCAGTAATAAACAGTCTGTATTGAGAGAGGGGAGAGGTTGGAGCTATGGGAGATATCAACATCTAAGGTCTGTGTAGAGGAAGCAGAACTCACAGTGGAGACTCAAGGAGGTGTAGAGGAGGAAGACATTTCCTCTACCCGTTCTGGGTTCTTCTGGCTGGAGGACGAATTAAATTCACATGAGACTGAATAACAGGAGAAAATTAAACAAAGCTTTATAACATGTATACGTGAGAGAGGCTCAGGCAAACTGAGCAACTCACCAAAATGGCTGAAACCACCACCTTAAATATCATCTTCAGCTAAAGACAAAGTAGGATGTTGGGGGTTGGGGGTGTCGATCATGGGAGATTACCACACAAGTACAGTAAACAAGAGGTTATTATGCAGACTTGAATCCTTGCCTTCCACGTTGATGAGAGTTTCTAGAGATAAGGTCATCCCTCCTTCCTGGTGCAGAGAGGGAGACATCTTTACAGATGGAGATTTCCTTTATAATGTAAATGTCTCTTAACAAAGGGTGAGTAAATTCTACTTTTCAGAGTTTCTTTCCTGTCTGCAGTTTTTAACAGTAACCAGCCCAAAATAATCCTCGTGCCAAAGAGACATATCTTGGGGTGGCCAATTCCAGTCCCCCACAGAGGTCAGAGAGGTAAGGGGAAAAGCAAGAGAGACCAGAGTCCTGGGAGCCAAAGAAGAAGGCTTCAAGGGGATGCTTATCAGTCCTTTCAGATGTCACAAAGGGCCCACTTAAGGCTCATGTCTGTTAGAACAGGCAACAAAGTTAACTGAAGACTTTTCTCATGAAGTTGGGTAGACCAATGGGATAGTAGACATATTGCAGCAGGTTTAGCAGTCGATGTGAAGTGCAGACTGGAAGTGTGGATTACTGTTCTCAGAAGCTTAGCTGCTTGGTTGGGAAGAGAAGGAAAATACAGGAAAAGTTACAGAAATGTAGGATCAAAAGAGATTTTCTTCTTAAAGGAGGAAAGACATTGGTATGTTCATATAGTCATGTACCACATAACATTTCAGTCAGTGACAGACCACATATAGGACAGTGGTCCCATAAGATTAGCACCATATAGCTTAAGTGTGTAGTAGCTATAGCATCTATGTGTAAGTACTGTAGGGGAGGAAGAAATTTTCTTCTACCCTTCTAGGTTCTTCTGGCTGGCCTAAGAATTAAATTGACATGAGACAAATTAACATGAGAAAAACAAACAAGAGTTTAATAACATGTGTACATGGGAGAAACCCAGGAAAACCAAATAACTTGCCAGAGTGGACAAAGCTGTCACTTTAAATGCCATCTTCAGCTAGAGACAAAAGAAGATGTTGGGAGTCTGGAGAGTCAGGGACTTCAAAGGGAAGGAAGGCAATTCACAGGTAAATGAAAAGGAGCAAAGGTTTGGAAAACAAGTGTTTATTTGGCCACACAGAAACAGAGTAATACAGAGGGAGCCCAACAAATAGGCTTTTCTAGTTTCCTGCCTGTCTACCACCTAGTTCATGTTTATGCTAAGGTGACAGCTCGATTTCTGAGATGGGTTTTTTTAATCTGACTTCTTTTAGGCAGTTGAGGGGGAGGTAACAAGAAAAACTTTCTCAGTCTTTTGTTTCTTAAAAATAATTGGCCTAAGGTGATCCTTGTGTTAAAGAGACACATTTTGGGGTGGCAAATTTTGGTCCCCTTTGCTATGCTCTATGATGTTTGCACAGTGACAAAATCACCTAACAACGCATTTCTCAGAACGTGTCCCCATCATTAAGTGACGCATGACTATGGATTGGGGGAACAGAGACAGTAGAGAAGGGATAGTAAATGCATGCCAAGAAAGAGATGCAAGCCACTGTCCTGGTTGAAATTCTCTAGTCTTTTTGGCTTGACATACAAGTCCTTTGAGTTCTGATTGTTCTTTACCTCTCTAGCTTTAACTGTCATCATCCTCCACATGCACTTGGACTAAGCAGTGCAACTGAACTAAGGACATTTCCTTGAATGTCATTGTATATGCTGCCCAAAATGCCTTTCCTTTCCTCCTTCCCCTCACCTTCCCTCTCCTCCTTCCTTTTCCCCCTGTATCTTCTTCTCTCTTCTCCTCCTTCTTTACCTGGCTAATTTTCACTTATTCTTAAAGCCTTTTCAGATGACCCCTTTCTGTGGGAAACATTTCCTGATTTCCCTCTCCTCACCCTCACCTCAGCCAGCGTTAGTCACTTCAATTTGAACTTCTTTAACATTCTTTGTAGACTTTTATGTTATTAATCACATAATACTAAAATTTCCTGTTTATTTGTCTGCCTCCTACAGGTGGCCATTAATTCCTTGAGGCCAGAGAACATTACCTGACAGGTCAGTGCTCAATAAATGTTTATTAAACAAGGCAGGGAGGGCAACACGTGGGTATAATGGTGCCTAAATGAACTTTTGCTTTGCTTCACACATCCTTTGTTTGAATGTCTCTTTGTCCCAAGTTCTCCCCTAAAATAACTGCAGCCTTCTTAGTCGTTAGGAGGAACTGCTGGGATGGCAGATAGTTATAGTACTCAGATTGTCACTTGTTCCAAGCCCAAGGCAGACACCATGTATCAATTACTGCACATTGTCACACAAGCTGGACACTACCTCTTTTCTTGGTAGCTATTATTAATGGATCAGAGTTGACGTTTGGGACAAGAACTATTTGCTGTTCTTATACATCTCACAGAGTCTCTTGTTTTTCTTAATTTTTTTCTAGAAATACAATATGAAACCTCTCTTCTACTCTAAAGCTGTGTTCCCTAGGCTCTCCAGAAATCTACCTGGCCACTTTCATATGTGTATGGTCTTCTAGCAATGAAGCTTAGATGGATTTTCATTTTTTAAGTAATTTATGATAGGAGTTATACTCATATAAACACATTGTATTAAGCCCACTTTCAGTGAGGGGGCTGGGAACCATTAACTTTTTAAGAATTATAGGAGGGGGGATGTGGAGGGGCAGAAAGATGACATTGTACCTACATAGAAAGATTATATTGTATCTACACAGGAAAAAATATGGAGAAGTGAGGAATTCATCCTGATCATTACCTTTTTCTTAATCCCTTGTTCTTCATTCCTCACTCCACACTGTATCATTCAGCTTAACAAAAATTTATTGAGTACTTACTTGTGCTAAATACTCTACTAGAAACAGGAGATGGAAAAATGCATAAGACAAGCAGCCCTCAGGGAGTTTGCAGTCTTATTAGGGAAGGTGTTAAGAACTAAAGCACAGGGGTGCATAGGGTGATAGTGGAAAACATGCTAAGATAACTTGATCTGAATCGTCTGGTGTATCCAGCTGTGTCTCTAGAATTCACGAGATCATTGCTAACCTTTTAATTTAAATGATCAAAGTTGCTTAGAATTTTTGTTCTTAATCTTGAATCATGTTTGTATATAGGATAATTCCCTTGAATCATGGAAACCGTGTGCGGATAAGAGCTGATAGTCTCAAAGTATGCTTTTATGGATAAAAACATTTAAAAATATTGCAAATATTAAGTATTATAAATGAATGCTTACTTATTTTCTGGGTCAGAGAGTCAGAAGTTAGAATTCAGTAAGACTTAAGAATTGATGAATTTAGAAAATATCACTATTTTCTTTTAAAGACCATTCAGACTTTGTTGAGTCTGTAGAATTGGTTATAAGAGGAAAAAGACAAACTTTATTTAGAAAATTAAACACAAAAAAAAGACATCTCCCCCCATTTAATTTACTCTTTCCTCAAATTGGAGCACAAGCATTAAAGAAAGCCTTGCTAAACTCATTGTGTTCTTCAGTGAATATTAAAATTAGCACCCACATGAATATTATAAAAATAAGGAACAAAATGTTCACAATAAACCTCAGTAAAATTCTGATGCCGATAAGGCCAAACGTTTCATTTTTGTTTTCTAATGTAATGCTGTTACAACTTACTTGCAACATTATTCCCTGCATGGCGGACCCCTAATTATTTCATCATGCAGCAGGAAATCCTGGTAGGTCATATATAAACAGCCTGAGGCAAGAACCTCTTCATCTGATAGAGTATGACATCTGACATCTGTGCAGCCTGCTGCTCGCCTGCCACAATTAACCAGGAAGCTCAGACATTAGTTAATGCAAAGGCAACTGGGAGCTTGGGAGAATGTGGAGTAGCAAAGGTCTTTCCTAATCCAATAAATTCCTATGAAGATGAAAAAGTGACAGCAAATAGGTGACAATTTTCTCAGGAACTGAACCTTTGTGGTCTTCTTCCTGTTTTCCAAGAAGCAGCAAGTCACCTTTCTCATCTGCCCTCCCCTCCTACTTCTCATGTATGCATAATTTCCCTTGACTTTGAATGACCGACTTAAGTGCACTTAAAGGCTGCTGGATTTAGCTCTTGGTATTGTTTATGCTCACTGCTGGAGTGGGCGTAGAAGTCTCTTTCTGGGTTTCACGAACTAAATGAAATCCAGAATGGGACCTCTGTGTAGAATGTGTTAAGGGATTGAACCAGCACCTGCTTTAGAGGCTAATTGTTTCTACCAGACATTTAATGTTTATTATTCTGTTTGGAGGCAAATGCTAAGGGCAGTGAGCAATTTTCATTACCAGGAGTTTCATTATATTACCTTCTAAGAAAATATAATTTTAATATTTTATTTCAGTGTTTTTATTAAACAAATATTTACTGAGTATCTACTGTATGTCAGACACTATGCTTGACCCAGGGCTGGAGAAGATCATCTCTGCCCATGAGCTTGGTCTATTGAAAGAGACTGCCTGCCATGTAAAGCAAATGACATGCAAGTGTGGTTACATGGACTAAGAGTTGATGAGGAGGAAGCAGCTAACTCAATAGGAGGAGGGTCTGGAAAGATAGCATGGAGGAGGTGACATTTGTTCTGCATGTTGAGTGCTGAGTACGTTTTTCAGGTTCACAAAGTGAGAAAGAGTGTTAGAGAGTAACAGAGACAAAGGCACTGAGATATTGAAGAGCCAGGGATGTCTGAGGAAATTCAGGGAGGATTGATGTTGTGCACATAGGGCATGTGGAGGGGGGAGGAAGGAGATGGGGCTAGAAAGGTAGGCCCAGGACATTGTGGGCCACGCTGAGTTATTGTGCAGGAAGTGATTAGCTGGATTTTCTTTTAAAATTAAAGGAAAATTATTGCTGGAACTCGACTCTTGGAAGATTGTTCTGGTAGAAGTGTGTGGGATAGATTGGAGAGGGAAAAATTATTTGGATCAGGAAGTCAGTTAGAAACTGTTTACATAGGGAGGCTTCACATTCATTTGTTGATTCCTTCAACAAATAAATGCCTAAGAAGGTCAAAAAAGATACCTTTGAATTCATATGTCTTGGTATTTTAAATGATACTGTATCGTTTTGTGATTAATTTCTCTATCCTCTCTTCTCCTTAGTCCTCTGCTCCATTCCCCATTTTCTTTTCTCCATTTCTGAGCCATCTGAAACCAGAAATCACTAAAATCACACCCCTTTGAGGTTAAAGCTCTTGGCCAACATCCCAATCATTTCAACACTATCCAAGCTGGACTCTTTGAAGTCCATGCCTTGCTGGTAATGATATAGCAGATATTTGTCTAAAATAATCACTAGTGAGTTTATAAGAGAGAAGGAAGCCTAAGAAGCAAGGATTGGAAAATACATATGGTCAATTATGAATTGACTTAAAAAAAAAAGTAGGCTGCAGGAATCTGATAAGAAGAAGTCTGTAGGATTCAGCACAAACATACTGTATTAATTATTATTATTCATTCTACATTGCCACAAGTGTACACAATGCTTTATAAATGGTTGACAGTGCTGGAGAAAGAATAATATCCCAGCCCTGGAGCGCTTATAATTTATGTAAACACATCTTTTTATTTTGTTTTTCCAAGCCATGTCTCTGAATTGTGATTCCGCTTATTTTGCTCATATTCATATTTCATCTCTGGTTCTCATATAAACTAAAAAATGAGTTGTTTTAGGAATCACACATGTTTTTTCCAAAATGATGGTTCTCCTCCATAATGCTAGAACTGTTGCATTGGGAATTCTGAGTACAGAGCCACTCCTTTGTTGGGGTCCCCATGAATATATGAAACAAGAAAAGGGGGTGTATTTAAGGCCCTCTGGAGATGAATGTGGCTAGAAGAGTGTAGTGTTATTAGGAGCTTTTCTTTAGTAGAGTAGTATTAAAATCCTTTGCCATTCAGAGTTTTTGTTACTATGAAAACATAGAGGAAGCCATGTAGAGAAGATTAGTACCAATGTTTGTTATTACCCTAAGTTCCTTGCTAGTTCTGCTTCCTGATCATACTGTTAATTCATCAGGTTCAATGGTCTCCCCCAGTATACATTCATGTTATATTATTGCTTTGTTTTACCTTGGCCGTGAAAATCTTTAAGCTGGTTTAGTTTAGAAGCAGACTGAGTGATTTATACAGCCTCTTCGGTTTTTGTTAGATAGCAATAAGCATCCCACAGACAGGCAAATTCAGTATGAATATGAATGTGATAGTGGAGAAACTTATGTTTTTCCTGCAACTACACGTATTACTTGTTTCACTACATTTTATTTTACTATTTCAAAACATTTGAAAGACACAAATATTGACACAGCCTGTATTAGTCTTTGAAAAGCTTTTCCTTAAATTCAGAAACAAAATTTATGACCAAATTTGAAACCTCTAATTTGAAGGTCCTATAAAATGATTGTTAGTCGTATCTATTTTCTGATTTGAAATAACCACCATTTACAAGAAATAAGTAGGAGGCCAAGAAAAATGAGTTTATTTTAATTCTCTAATATTAATTAGGCCTTTCATTGTGTGAGGCATTGTACTAGTACTATTAATACCATGGTGAATGAAACAGACATATTCCCTGAGCTTACAGGTGTATATAATATAAACTGACAATCATAGTGCTTGGTGGAAGTGGAAGTGTTTTGATAGGAGAAGTACAGAATAAACTGTGGAAGCTCTTTTAGGCCCCAAACTCATAATTATCAGGGAAGACTTCCCAGAGGAAATGATGTCTAAGTAGTGATCTAAAAAATGAGTGAGAGACAGATGAAAGTGAGGGGTGGGGGTTTGGAGAGGATTCCAGATAGAGGGAAGAGAAAAGTCTAGAGGCAAGTGAAATCCTAGTAAGAGTCTAGAACTGAAAATAGTCCAGTGTGGTTTGAATTTAGATTGCAAAGAGATGGCAAAGGAGGAGGGAAGAGAACTAAAGAAAAGTCAAATTATTCAGCATTGCATAAGCCAAGATAATATATTTTGACAGTATGCTAAAACAGGGGTTCTAAACTTGGGTTCCTTGGCCTTGAAGGGAGTCATGGATGAACTTGAGGGAATTGCTTGTGAAAATTTTGTGCGTAAACAAATTCTTAAAGGGTTTGGACAGGTCACTCTCCTTAAGAACAAAATTCTCTTCCTTGATGTCCATCCCCTACCAACATGCTATAACTCTTTGTGAAATGTTACCAGTTGAACCTTGGCAACTTTATTCATTCACATATTCATATATTCAACAAATATTTGTTGAATTTTTCATAAGCAAGGGATACAGTGGTGAATAGACAAGACAGTTCTAAAAGAGGGGGACAGAAAATAAGTAACAAATGAGATTTCATAGTAATAAGCAAAATAAAGAAACTAAAATAAAGGACTTGCTAGGGAGCAAGGCTTCCCTGAGGAAGTAACATTTGAGCTAAAACTTCAATTGGCAAGAAACTGGAATAGCTAGTGCAAAGGGTCTGAGACAGAATTGATTTGATGTATTTACTAAATGGAAAGAAGGCCAGTGTGGCTGCAGTATATATAGTTGGTAAGAGAGTAGTAAAAGTAGGATGTGACATTGGAGAAATGGGCCAGGAATCAAGTCATGTAGGTCATGGTCAGGAATTTGAATTTTATTCTCAGTGTCATGGGAAATCATTGAACAAATTTAACAGTAACATTACATGATCTGATTTATGTTAAGGAAAAAAAATTGTAAGGAAGGAAATTGTGAAACAGGGAGACTCGTTAGCAAACTGCAGTAGTTCAGGTGAGAGATGATTTTGTCTTAAACTAGGGTGATGATAATGGGAATGGAGATGAGTATATAAATTTGAGATGTATTTTGGGGCAATATACGGCTGCCTGTGTGCAGGCATGGAAAGATGCCAAACTGCAGTGCATAAAATTCTCCAATACGAATACCTCTAAAAGGAAAATACTAAAGATATTTAAACAAAATTACTTTAGGGATCTGCCTGGCAGACAAAACCCAGTCAGGATATGTGAGTTTAAACCTTTAACCTATCATTTGTGACCTTGGGCTGACCAGTGATTCACCTTCTCTGCATCAATTTTCTCATCTAAACGTGGAGTTAATAAAATGTGAAAGCAACCGATACGCCTGGTACCAAGTAAATTTTGTTTAGTTTTAAGTGAACAGTAATTAATTTTAGCAACAACCAAATGGTCTTTGAGAATGGGTAGCTGAAAGGGGAGATAAGAAGAGAATCTAAAGGAAAAAATACCATTTTTACCAAAAGTGAAATTGCTATCTTTCTGATCATGGCTGTTCCATATGGAAAATTTGCTTTTAGGACCCCATTAAACATGGTCTTAACTACTCCTTTTGTTTCTGTGTTCAGAACTGCACACACACAAGCTAGTTGGTGAGGAGATTTCCAAGGCTGTGTAAACAATGTAGTCTGGCTTCTGAAAATTCATTCCGCATATATTACATGCATTAATATTCAAATATTCACATGAACTTCCCGGCAAGCTCACAGTGATTATGACCTTCACAATCACCTTAATTGGCCCAGCCCCTCTCCAAGAGTGTGCCCAGGAGTCACTGAGGATGAGCTCAGACCTTTGTGGCTATGTATTTACAAATCCTGTCTTCCTTTCTCTTTTCCATTCTCTGTGAAAGCTCTGCCATTAAAAGTAACTCTAAGAAGCAGGTTTGGGACCGTGGTGTAGAATAGGGACTCAAAAAGCTTTAATTAGATACCTACTTTGTAAAAACCAGGGCCTAGCATTGTTTATGTGTTTCTTTAAAAAATTATTTGAAGTATCTTTTGCTGTCTTATCTTAAGCAGTTAGTCAGAGTTAACTAAAATTATGGCTTAATGTTTTAGAAATAGGGGGTTCTTTCTCATACTGCCTACTGGTCTAAAACCAGAGGATCACCACATGCCTTTGCTACTCCCTTGGTATAGAAATAAAGCTCTTGAATTGGGTGAGAGGTGGCTTGGGTAGGGAGTGTGGGGGATAGGTATTTAATGGCATACATAAACTTTCCCATTTGGAAAGTCTGGTATTCTCAGCCTGCTCCCAGAATCCTTTGAATGGACTTAAAGCCACATGGCCAAAGCTGGTCTGGAAGGAACCTGCTAGAAATAAGCAAACATTTCAAAAATTTTAAAAGAAAATAAATGCTTTTAAGATTTCAGAAACCTTAAGAGAAAACATGCTTTTAGCTTGTGCCTATGAATATTATATAACTAGTATTTATTGCAGTGCCCCTGTGGACAAGAGAAGAGTAAAGATTTTGAATGTTAATTTTGGTCATTCTCTAGATTGCTGCTCAGATATCTCTCCTTTCATCCATGTTGATGTATTTGAAGAAAAAAATCCCTTGAGTCTGGTCACCTGAGCTTTCTACACTGCTGGAATATTCCTTTGAATAGCAGGGCAGGAAATCTTCCTATAAAGTATTACAGTAAGTGAAGTTTGCCGTAATGAAGGGGCCTGTCATGCTCTTTTGACATATCCCCTTTCATTCTTTTACCCTACAGTGTGATAAAAGATAATTAAAAGAGAAAAAAAAGTAAAATCATGACTCTCATACAGATATAAAATGAACATGTGTTAAAGATTTTGTTTAACTGGTTCAATGAGAAAACCAGGCAGATGTTATAAGTGGTCAAAAGAGAATCTGTAAAACAGACGGATTTGTAGATCAGTAGTATTGAAACAAACACCCAAATGAAGGCAAAGCTGGTTTTTCCAGAGTTGGGGAGGGAAGTCCAATAAATCTCTATCTGACAGGACAGAATTTGCATTTTTATCAGTTACCTACATTTTACAGAGTTGTAAAAATAGCTCAAAGACAATGAAAGACTAAAATCAGATAACCTAAAGTGGTATCTTGTAGACAATGCATAGTTTTCCATTGAAGGTCAAAATTTCTTCTACGTTTTTTCTTCACTTCTTCAAATTTATTCATAATATAGAGCAGAGTACCAAGTAAGTATGGCAAGTATCATCTAGAGTGCAGTCTTTGATCAATTGACAAATGGCTGCCTGGTGCCTTCTGTTGAGGTTTTTAGGTTCAACAGGAAAGAGTGCCACATAGATTAGCAATGTCTGTCAAGGGCAATGGAGTAGTAAGTAGTGGCATTTGTGGCAGGTTTTTGCCACTCTGTTATAGAAGAATGTCATCTGTAAACTAATTTACCCCAGAATATTGTAGATTCATTGTGTTCTTCTTCCCAGAGCATTTACATTTAAAAAGAAGAAAGATACTATCAAGGAAAATATTTAATTCCTTTTTTCTTTTACATATATGAAATTGCATACTTTGGGAAAGTTTAAACTGTAAAAAATTCAAGCATTACAGAGTGGAACCCAGTGAAAAGTTTCCCACTCCTGCTTACTGGTTCCTCTGTTTCTCTAAACAAAGCAATTGCTGGTTACCAGTTTCTTGTGTATCCTTCAAGAGATATTACATACAAAGGTTGCACACAAAATCCATTGCATGTTAGTAGAAATTATTTTGTTTAGAATTATATTGTTTGATTCTTTCCAGTCTTTGTATAGATTTTAACTCTTCTCAATATTCTGCTTGACAAGTTTTTCCATGTTGATTTAATTGTAAGTAATGAGGATGGTCCCATAATTGTTTTCAAGGCCTTCAACTGTTAAGTGGACTCCCTATGTATGAGACTGTGAAAGACAAATTTCTCGTGCACCTTAATTTTTTCTTAAAGTATTTTTTTAAATTATGAAATATTGTAAGTATATAGAAGTTCAGAAAATAGTGTAATAGACATTTATGTACCTACCACAGATTACAGATTTAGAAATTTTAGCAGATCTCTCTTATAAATAAGTAAATAGGGGCCGACCCAGTTGTGCAGTAGTTAAGTTCGCACATTCTGCTTCAGTGGCTTAGAATTCGCCAGTTTGGATCCCAGGTGCGGAGCTACCCACTGCTTGTCAAGCCATGCTGTGGCAGGTGTCCCACATATAAAGTAGAAGAAGATAGGTACAGATGTTAGCTCTGGACCAGTCTTCCTCAGCAAAAAAGAGGAGGATTGGTGGCAGATGTTAGCTCAGGGTTAATCTTCCTCAAAAAAAAAAAAAATTAAAAAAAAATAGGTAATAAATAAATGTTACTGAGATAAAGTTTCACTCTCCTAGCATATCCTTTTCTCTCTTGCACCAAATGGAACTACAGTAGTATTCTGGGGTTGGGATTTATCATTTCTATGCATATTTTTTACTGCATATGTATATATCCAGAATATATATGCATATGTATATATCATATATATATATATGTAAGCTATTGATATGTGCTCAGAAGTTTACATTATCTTGCTGTATGTATCCTTTTGCATATCCTATTGAAACTTTATTAACATTATTTTTTGAAATTTATCCACAGTGGTACACTAGATACAGTTAATTTATTTTAATTGTTATATAGTGTTAAAAGATAGACATATTAAAAATTTTAAGAGTTTGTTTGAGCAAAAGTTGATTCGAATTGGGCAGTGCCAAACCAGAAGTGATTAGGAGTGCTCCACCAACAGGATCTAGGGGAAAGACTTTCATAGAGAAGAGGCAGAAGCAAAGCAAGGAAATTATTTGCTTAGCTACAGTTAAAGGGTTGCCTTATTTGGAAAGGGCTAGTTGGCTGTTTGTGATTGGTTGTCCTTAGGTTTTGATTTCTTAACCTTGAAACATTTTGGGCTTAGGTTTTAGTTTGCTTAGGTAGGCTGCTAAGGCATTAGAACCACCTCAGCCTAATGGCCTCCTTGCTTAATTAATTTAACAATAGATTCTATTGTATGAATAAACAGTCTATTTTCTATCTCCAACTGAGGGTCTATTAGGTTAATGTCACTTTTTTGGTGTCAAAAGTATTCCAATAAACATCCCTTTTCATGTCTCCTTATATTTATGTGCAAGTTTTTTTGTTAGAAACCTGGAAGTGAAATTGCTGTGTTCTATAGTACATACATCTTCGCATATAGTACATATTGTTAAATTACCTCTTCAAAGTGGTTTTACCGGTATGTACTTTAACATCAACTTATGACTGTACTTTCCCTCAATCCTCACTAATTCTTAGTGTTTTCAGATTTACTACATTTTGCCAATCTGGAGACTATTGTTATTTAATTTTAATTTAATTTAATTTAATTTAATTTTCTGATTTATTAATGAGGTCAATCATCTTTTCATTGTCTATTATAGATTTTCCTTCCCTGAATTGTCTGTTTATCTGTTTGGTCCCTTGACTTTTTCTTATTGATGTGAATGAACTTTTAAAATATTCTAGATAGGAATACTTTTGGGATTAAAAAGATTTCAAATTTCTTTTACCAGTATGAGGATTATCTTCTAATTTTGTTTATTGTATCTTTTTTTTTTTTTTGCTGAGGAAGATTGGCCCTGAGCTAACATCTGCCAGTCTTCCTCTGTTTTTGTGTGTGGGTTGCTGCCACAGCATGGCTGATGAGTAAGTCTGTGCCCAGGATCCGAACTCACGAACCCAGGCTGCTGAAGTGGAGTGTGCTGAACTTCACCACCAGGTCACAGAGCTGGCCCTGTTTATTGTACCTTTTGACATCCGGGAGCTTATAATGTTAATTTTGATCTGTCTTTTCTTCTATGATTTGTGCCCTTTTGGGGTGGTTATAAGAAATTCTTTCCTAATTATGGTGGCTTTATAATGTGTCAGTTTCACTAGGCTGAACTACATTTCCCGGAATTTCCTTCTATGGGTTTCCAGCTAGGTAGGCCAAAAGAGAGACTCTTGTGTGAGATTTGGTGGGCTGAAGTTAAACAACAGTCATTTGTAACTCGTACACTTTTATCATATATCTGATAAAGAACCTCAGTGGCAGGAAGCAGGAGTCAGGCTGTAAATGATTTATTTTTTCCTGGCTCCTCCTTTAGCTTCTCTAACACCTCAGTCAGATATGTGTGTTTTAGCTCCATGAAGAAGAGCTCCCGTTTCTACAGGACACCTATACCATCAAGGTCAGAGGCAACAAGAACTGACAAAGATTTTAGCCTGTTCTTGTTGGTTCCAGCTCGTGCCTATGAGTTCCGGGTTGTTCTTGCTGTTCCCCACTTCACATTTATTTGCCTTTCTGACTTGCTGCCCTGTGGACTTAAAGCTCCTACATAATGTTGGAAGACAGTAGGCCTACAGAACCTGGCTAACCAGCTTCCACAATCACATAAGGTCAAATGCCTATAACAAATCTTTGTGTGTGTGTGTGTATATGTATCTCACACTGCTTCTCCAATTGAAACCCTGGCAGAGACAGTATTTTTATGTCATGAAGAAAGTCTTCTGGGGCTGGCCCCGTGGCCGAGTGGTTGGGTTCGCGTGCTCCGCTGCAGGCAGCCCAGTGTTTCGTTGGTTCGAATCCTGGGTGCGGACATGGCACTGCTCGTGAAACCACGCTGAGGCAGCGTCCGACATGCCACAACTAGAAGGACCCACAACGAAGAATATACAACTATGTACCGGTGGGCTTTGGGGAGAAAAAGGAAAAAATAAGATCTTTAAAAAAAAAGAAAGTCTTCTATAGTTTTTTGTAATTTTATTTTTCACACATAGATATTTAGTCCATCCAAAATTTACCTTTATGTGTCGTGAGTTACACATACAAAAATTTTATTTTTTTTTCATATGGATGGTTATTTGTCCATCCTTTTCCCACTGATTTGTAATGTCACCTCTGTCATAAACAAAATGTCCATATGTATGCACATGGACCTTTTAATTCATTCTGTTTCATTAGTCTACTTACCTGTGGATAGCACAATGTCAGAATTATTTTGCCTTATGAGTAGTCTTGAAACCAGGTAGACAACTCCTCATTTTGTCCTTTCTCTTCAAAATCATATTGACTATTTTTGACTCTGTATACTAACATAGGAATTTTAGTGTAAACATGTTAAGTTCCATGAAAAAAATTGAATTTGTCTGTAGTAATGCTTACTATATAGATCAAATTAGGGAGAATTACTCTGTTAACTCCAAGACCTCTTTGTATATGTTTTGTTAGATTTAAACCCAGGTATTTCTTCCTTTTTTTTGATTCTAAGGTAAATGGTAATTGTTTTTTAATTTTTAATTTTTTTAAATTGAAGTCATAATAGTTTATAACATTGTGAAATTTCAGTTGTACATTATTATTTGTCAGTCACCATATATATGTGCCCCTTTACCCCTTATGCCCACCCCCCAATCTCCTTCCCCTCTAGTAACCACTAATCTGTTCTCTTTGTTCATGTGTTTGTCTTCCATGTATGAGTGAAATCATACGGTGTTTGTCTTTCTCTGTCTAACTTATTTTGCTTAACATCATACCCTCAAGGTCCATCCATGTTGTTGCAAATGGGGCGATTTTGTGTATTTTGAGGCTGAGTGGTATTCCATTGTGTATACATACCACATCTTCTTCATCCAATCATCATTCGATGGGCACTTGACTTGCTTCCACATCTTGGCTATTGCGAAGAATGCTACAATCAACATAGGAGTGCCTAGGTCTCTTTGAATTGTTGATTTCAAGTTCTTTGGATAGATACCCTGTAGTGGGATATCTGGGTCATATGGTATTTCTATTTTTAATTTTTTTGAGAAATCTCCATACTGTTTTCCATAGTGGCTGCACCAGTTTGTATTCCCACCAGCAGTGTATGAGGGTTCCCGTTCCTCCACAACCTCTCCAACATTTGTTATTTTTTGTCTTAGTGAATATAGACATTTTAACAGGTATAAGGTGCTATCTTAGTGTACTTTTGATTTGCATTTCCCTGATGATTAGTGATGTTGAACATCTTTTCATGTGCCTATTGACCATCTGTGTATCTTCAATCTCATTGTAGTTTTGATTTGCATTTCCCTAATGTTTAGTGATGTTGAACATCTTTTCATGTGCATGTTGGCCATTTGCATATCTTCTTTGGAAAAATGTCTGCTCATATCCTCTGCCCATTTTTTAATTAGGTTGTTTGGTTTTTTGTTGTTGAGTTGTCTGAGTTCTTTATATATTTTGGAGATTAACCCTTTGTCAGGTATATGATTTACAAATATTTTCTCCCAGTTGGTGGGTTGTCTTCATTTTGTTCTTGGTTTCCTTTGCCTTGCAGAAGCTCTTGAGTCTGATGTAGTCCCATTTGTTCATTTTTTCTTTTGTTTTCCTTGCCCAAGTAGACATGGTATTTGAAAAGATCCTTCTAAGACCAATATCAAATAGTGTACTGAGTATGTTTTCTTCTAGGAGTTTTATGGTTTCATATCTTACCTTCAAGTCTTTAATCCATTTTAAGTTAGTTCTTGTATATGGAGAAAGATAATGGTCTACTTTCATTCTTTTGCGTGTGCCTGTCCAGTTTTCCCAACACCATTTATTGAAAAGACTTTCGTTTTTCCATTGTATGTTCTTGGCTCCTTTGTTGAAGATTAGTTGTCCATAGATGTGTGGTTTCATTTCTGGGCTTTCAGTTCTGTTCCATTGATTAGTGTGTCTGTTTTTGTACCAGTACCCTGCTGTTTTGATTACTATATCTTTGTGGTATATTTTGAAGTCAGGGCTTGTGATGTCTGCAGCTTTGTTCTTTTTTTTCAGGATTGCTTTAGCTATTTGGGGTCTTTTGTTGCCCCATATGAATTTTAGGATTCTTTTGTTCTATTTCTGTGAAGAATGTCATTGGGATTCTGATTTGGATTGTATTGAATCTGTAGATTGCTTTAGGTGGTAGGGACATTTTAACTATGTTTATTCTTTCAATCCATGTGCGTGGAATATCATTCCATTTCTTTATGTCATAATCAATTTCTTTCAATAATGTCATAGTTTTCAATGTATAGGTTTTTCACCTCCTTGGTTAAATTTGTTCCTAGAT